GCGGAGCCGAACATTAAATACCCGGCGCAAGTATTAAATATATGATTTTCACCTTTCCGAAAGCTACCGCTACATGGTAAGCCGGTGTGTATCAATTCTGAGTAAATTAGCGTCCTTAAATTTCGAAATATTGAAGTTTCAAGCATTTCTGAAATTTGCCGTTATATGAAAAGTGGTCGTAATTTTAATCTGATTCCAATAATTTTCAACGGTTTGCTTCTATGCGGCAAGCACAATAATCATACCGAGTTTGGTACAAATTGGTAGAACGGTTACCGATATACATATATGTGATCATAAGTGGGCGGTGTCACGCCCATTTTCCAAAATTTTACCATAAACGTATTTCTTGGTAAAGAATTGTTGCAAGCATTAATTTTGAATAAATTAGCTTTAATATTTATTGATTTATCGAAGATTTCGTATTTCTCCAAATTACCGATTTTCGGTCATTTGGTATGCTGTAGCATGACTAAAAACTGTGCCAAGTTTGGAAGAAATTGGTGAAGCGGTTACCAAGATATACACATGTATCCATAAGTGGGCGTGGCTAAGCCCATTTTCCAAAAATTTATAATATTCTTATTTTTCGTCTAAAAGTTATTGTAAATACCAACTTTGAGTGAATAATCTTCAGTAGTTACTAAAATATCGCAGTTTACGTATTTCTGAAAATTACCGTTATATGGGAGGTAGGCATGGTTATTGTCCGATTTTGCCCATTTTCCGAAATAAGTATACGTACCAAGTTTCGTTAAGATATCTTAATGTTTACTCGAGTTATCGTGTGCACAGACGGACAGACAGTCACCGCTTAATCGATTTCTCTTTTCATTCTGATCATTTATGTATACATTTGTCTATATCTATCTCGATTCGTTTTGCCTGTTACAAACAACCGTTATGTGAACAAAGTTATAATACCCTTGTGCACAAGTGCGCTCGGGTATAAAAATGTATCCACTAAAATCCAGTAAAGCTTGCAAGTTCAGCTGTTATTTTTTCTCTCTCAATTCTCTTTCTTTTGCTGGTTTCTTGCAAGTTTATGCATACGAAAGCGCCTTCCCATAAAAACCAGTAAAATTATTACTGGATTTTACTTTATAGTGCGTACGCGAACAGGGCTAATATTATGAAATGCGTCAGCTAAAAACCTGTATGCAGTTCTCAAGAAAAGCTAAAATTCCATACAAAATGACGTACAAGAAATGGCTAAGAAATTTTCTTAAGTCAAATTTCCTTCAGGCAGTACGCTGTTCTTAAGAAATTTGCTACGCTTTTTACTACGGTTTTCTAAAGTTTTTTGTGAAAAAAGAGCACAAGACAACCCAGATTTGCAACAGAAATATATGCCCGTCCCATTATTTCTTGAGGAAAGAGTGAGGCAA